TTCAGTGCATAATTTATCAGTGTAATTAATATCCATTCATCATTAATGTTCTGATTTAGTAATTAGGCATGGAATGTGTCTGCTTTACTAAATCAAATTAGTTCTCTTAATTTTAGCTATTAATCATTTGAATGAAATTCCAAATCTAATTTACTAATTTCATTCTACCTTGCGCAAGGATTTATTAATCAATACTAATAGAGAACATTTAGAATATTTTTCCTGATTTACCTAAGGTTATGAATCCTCTCTTAATTATAGAAGTATCTCTATACAGTTCCTACTATATCCAATTAATCATTGCTTATTATTCATGAATGAATGAATTTGAGTAGTTATGACATGTTGCTAGACAGTGTACTTAACTTTCAAGTATTAATTAATTAATTTAATTTATGTTTTGTTGCCAACATATTTGGAACCTAAAAAGTCACATACATAAGAACGAATATGAGAAAGTGAAAACGAGAAATCGAATTGTGATATTAAAGACAAAACTTATTATCAAGTATTCACTTGATTGATTTATGTCTAAAATTATTAAGATAAATTTTAGATTAAACAAACCTAATATTTTGATTATGATTTATTTATTTAAATAGTTAAATAAATAAATATAATTGATTAAACTGAATCTTATTACTATATGTATTATGTTTTATTTATTATGATTTATTTATTTAAATTGTTTAAATAAATAAATAGGCACATATATATTTTAGTTATAATTTATTTATTTAAAAGATTTGAATAAATAATTATAATTTATTTATTTATGAATTTATTTATGACCTAGGGTTTGATATATAAGATTTAAGAGATGGTCTAACAGATAGTTCTTGCTTATATCTATAAAACTAAACATAGAGTGTAAGATAGCTAGCATCATCATACTCTTTAATCTCTCAATCCTTTAAAATAATTTTAGATTTTTTCAATTGTTCATTCGTGTGGATATTACTAGAGGTCGAACACTTGGACGAATTGTGGTTTGTGACAACCTAGCCACGTAGATTTAAGTTTCAAACAATCAACAAAAGAGATATTCTTCTAAACAATTTTATTGCTTTAATCGTTTAAACGGATCCCTGTTGGAACAATTATTTTATTATAATTATCTTATTTCACTGCGTATTTTTCATATTGAATCCCAATAGTATTGACCTCGATTTATATATATATATATATAGACACATAACAATATTATAAGTAACTACAATAGATCCACTAGGAAGAAAATGGAAATAAAAACGAAAAAGAAAGGAAAACACCTCTATTTATAGTGTTCAATGGGTAGCGCTTATACTAATGTTTATAATTTGAGAAAGCGAGTTAAATTATGCATAAGCTAACAGTTTTAGTCTTTAGGTCAATTAAATGTAATGTTTGGTTAAAGCTAAAAATCCTTTTTTTTTTTTTTTTTTTTTTTTTTTGGCCTCTTTTATGGATAAGGATGTTAAGCATTTTTTTTTTTTTTTTTTTTTTTTGCCTCTTTTTATGGATAAGGATGTTAAGCACTCGACTAATCTGAATTTTTGCAAAGTAAGGCTACGAAGGGGGTAAAACGCTACTTCCCGAGTTTTAACAGTGCTTTATATTCAAGCCTCGAATTCGATACCTCTTGTTAAAGAAGAAAGAATCATTGTTATCCATCTCATCCTTTAATGGTATCCTTTATATTCTTAATATAAAAAAAAATCTATATTTTAGATGATAAAAATTATTTATAGGTTTCAAAAACTAATTGAAATTAGAGATTTTACAATTTTTGAGAGGGTAAGGTAATTTTTGTTTTTATAATATAAAAATATATTTTATTACTTAAGATATATAAATTATTGTTTAGCAGAAATTAGGTAAAAAAATTTTAAAGGAGCTAGTGGTCACCTTAAACTTTTAGCAAAAAAATAAATGAAAAAAAAGGCTGAATTTCATCAAAAATTTAAATAAGTCCTAATATATCACAATACCTCAAAGTCAAACTTTATGGGTATTTTCAATTTCACCTTATTTTAACATTTCTGTCAATTTTACTCTATTTTGACTTTTTGTAGCAATAGCACCATCAATAATTAAGGATTGAATTGCAAATAAAAAATATTTCTATTATTTTTTAAAAAATTAATAATAAATATAAAATTTTAAATTTTTTTTGATATCAAATTATACCAGGCACATTTATAGATTTTGAAATACGATATTTAATACATATATAATTAAAATAATTAAAAAATTATTTATTTATTTTTAATTAAATGATTAATAATTTTAGTATACTATCAATCTAAAGATTACAAACATTAAGATTTTTTTCATCCTTAAATATAGGTAATATAAAAAAACACATAATTAAAATTTACTTTTTATTAATTTAATTTTTAACAATGCTTGGTGATTTTTCGGTCAGTAATAGAAATCTATTTTATTAAATTATTAATTAGCATATTTATTTCAAAAATTAAAAATTTAATGTGAAATTATTTTTTAGACTAAAGAAATTATTTTCAAATATTTTATTTTCTAATTTTTATCATAGTCGAATGATGATTTTAAAAAAATGATAAAAAATATTTTTATTTGCGATTCCATCCTTAATTGCAACTAAGGGTGTTATTGTTACAAAAAGTCCAAATTAGGATAAATTGACAAAATTACAAAAGCTTATAAAATTCAGGGTACATCAATATATCATGTCTTTAAGTAAAAATCTATGGCCACGAAGTCCGATGAATATTTTCTTCTTGTTTTTCACTTATTTAATGAAATTTTATTTGTTTTCACATTAACAGAAATAAATATAAAAAAAAATATTATTTTTATTATTTTCTTTTATTTTTCCCTTAACGAACTACAAAATTAGGCGTGCAAACGAGGCCGGTAAAAGTGAGTAAAAAAAATTGGGTTACAGATCCACCAATAATGGTGGGAAGCCATAACCGAACGTGTTAATAACAGGTAAGCCCAAAGGCTGTTCCCATCCCTGTCACGGGCGATGCCAACCATCCCTCCTTTGGATGAACACAGCGGCCTCTGCCAAGATAGAATTATTTAAAACCTTAGGATCACATTTATATATTGCCGATGTGGGTTTTAAAAATAGTTAGTTTGGGTCCAAGAAAAGAAGCTTATGCCAACTTCCCTCTGAAGCTACTTTAAGTCTTAATTTTGCTAATGTGGACCGATTAGCTAACTGTGCTCATTCCTTCTATAGCTCAAACCACAATTTTTGCACACGAGATGTTAAGCACTCTTTTCTCCCATTAATTGGGCTTTAGTTCGATTTTAAACACACAACCAGTGTTATTAAACCTCATTCCGGACATTAACCCAACAAAATAATCGAGTGAAAAATTCACTAATTTAACCCATGGATCATTAGTTCAACATAAAAATATTAGTTAAAGAATCGAACCGGCCAGTTCAAACACGCTATAGCCAATTTACTATGGCTCTCTTTCTAAATGGTTCAAAAGTAAAACCGCCTCTGTTTAAAATCCAACTCAACAATTTTCCATATCAACCCGCTGGTCCGGTCTGAGTTTAATAATTATGCTAAACAACTTTAGACCATCCTAAATAATACATCAACAATTTTACATATCAACCCGCTCGTCAGGTCTGAGTTTAATAATTATGCTAAACAACTTTAGACCATCCTAAATAATACATCAACAATTTTACATATCAACCCGCTCGTCAGGTCTGAGTTTAATAATTATGCTAAACAACTTTAGACCATCCTAAATAATACATCAACAATTTTACATATCAACCCGCTCGTCAGGTCTGAGTTTAATAATTATGCTAAACAACTTTAGACCATCCTAAATAATACATAAGAGGGGGAAAGGCAGCTATTGCTAATTAATACTCTCTCCGCCCATCGCCCATTTTATTTGCTTGTTTTTTATTTTTTAGATATCCCTGTTTGCAAAATTTCTAAATTTATATATCTAAACAATTATTTTTCCCATAATAACCTCTACGATTGCTTATTAAATGTACTTTTATTAATATTTTAATGAGGGTAAAAAAAAGAAAAATAATTTTTGTTAAATTCTTAATATGCATGTTTTTGTCAAACCATACAAATAAATCATGACGGAAGGAATAGTAAATACCAGAACTAGTTTATATTATATTATATTATATCATATTAGATAACAAAACCACTATCATCCATCATCTGAGTCTCACATCTCATACATAATTCTCAACCACAGTTCATAGCTAGAGTTCAATATATTCATAACTTGGAACTACTTCATGCATTGACCTTTGGTGCCCAGCCTGCAACCACATGTTCTGGCGAAGCCTTGGTCTTCTGAAAAGATTCGAGGGAGAACAGTGCCTGCAAAACAAGATAACAAATATTGTTTATCCATTACTGAATTCTAACTACTAGTTTGCTTTCACTTACTTCTCATGCAAATTGATTATCAAGTCTGCAGTCATATATGTGGAGAAAAAAGTTCTTATCATTCACAACTTAACAAACACCCCATTCCTATATCCACAACCTGAAATGGATCGAAATTTTAGTAATCCAAACACGGAATGGTGAAAACTATTTCTAGCCATGCTTCAATTAATTGGACCTTATCCGCCAGCATCATGAGGATTTCCCACATTCCTATATAACTACTAATTTTCATGTGTGATGTACAAAGCACATTATTCAACTCCCCCACGTCCACTGCATCATGGGCTCATAAGAGTAACACCCCATTGCACAGATAAAAAATTATCCTAAAGACAATTGGACATTCGAACAAAAACTGAGTACAATTCCAAAACTTTTTGAGTTACTATCAAACTTCATTCATGCTTTCCCTATGTCTGCTTATGAAACTCAATAGCTTGAGTCTACATAAATCCTAACGCCTACTGTTTAGATGCAGTTTTTCTGTACAAAAAGTGATAAATGAACTGCCTCCATTTGACAAACTGATTCATTTCCTAAACACTTTATTACAAACCTTAATAATGTAACTTTCAAACTTAATGAAACAACTTCATAAGCTACGTTAGTAACATTGGCATGTTACAAGGCCTTTCTCAAAGCAAAAAATGAACAGAATGCACCTAGCATTAACACATATTGACAGACCCACACCACAGTACCATAAAAGAAATCAACATGGATCACTAAACAAAAGAAGGCTTTGATAAAACATAGACACAAATTTAAGGCAGAATGAAAGGAGTACAAAAGGGAGAAAGAATAGGAAGGGCATTGGGTTGTGGCGCTGTGCCGTTTTATGTAAATTTATCTCGAGTTTGGAGCAGCTAGTCCAATGGATGTAGCCACTGAAATATGGCCATTGAGAACGAAAATATGGTTAACACAACTCCCATTGTATTTAAATCACCTACATCACAAACTAAATAAGAAAGGGAAAAGAGAGATAAAATCTCCTAGTAATTTCTTGGCTTCTCATTATTGGCATAGAATGGACAAAAGCAGAAACAAAAAATAACATATCATATGCCTTAAAGCAAATGGGAGCTCCCAAACTTCAATTTTGGGATGACTTGTCAAAACAGAATGATTCATGTGTCTGAATATACGATACCGCAGAAATTTAATTCTGCCAATCAACTTATTCAAGACTTCAAGTCAAAAATTAAACAGAAAAATCAAATTTTAACGCACATGTGATGTTAACATAATAGCCAGGTACCTTCTTGTAGCTGTGGAAATGAGTCAAGTTTTCGGGGACAGTCCACTTCTTAAAATGGCCAAGAGCAACATCAAGGTGGTACAACTTTGGTGCCAGGCTCAAATCAACCGCGCTGATCTTTTCCCCAGCAATGAATGGACCCTGATTCAATTTTCCAATAAATTAGTTTGTACTTTGAAGCGAAAAGATTTAGAATCAGAATCCAGAATTGATTCATTTTTTGTTCATACATGTGCCTTAAGATGCTCATCCAATGCCTTCAATTCCTCAAGCAAAGCCTGCTCAGATTCATCATTGGAATCCTTGCTCTTCAAGAATTTGACAAAAGATGAGAATATCTTTGAACCTCTGCAGTCTCACAGTGATTGATCGCAAGAATATGGATTCAGAAAACCTTTAAATTCAAAGCAACCTCACATACGAACATGCACAAAATCACAAACATGAACAAAGACACAAACACGTGTTTTTGCACACATAAAACATGTCCCAGAAAATCCATCCTTCAAAAAGGGAGATTAAGATAAAAGTTAAAAATGCATTTAAATTTTAGTCTGAAGAAATGATAACAGATAGAAAGCTAGTATCTTCAAGCTTTTTATGATAAAATGAATGTGAATACAAAGGAAACTGACAGAAATCTTTTATTGTGCACACAAACTTCTCAATGACCAATTCTCCTTGCAGCATAAAAAGAGATGAGAAAGCACCAAATAAATAAGCAGAACGTAAGAAAAATAACTATATACTAGTAGTTAAAAGTATTTATAGACGATAATACAATCTACATCCCACCATTTCTTCAAGCAAAACCCCCACATTTTACAGCCAAACACCAAATCATTGAGTAAAAAACATAAAAAGAAGAAAAAAAAAATCCAATCTCCAGACAGATTATCATATTAAATTACCGGAAATAAAACACATATGGGTAGATAAAGCATACTTACACAGAAGCAAAGTCTGGAGGAGTAACAAGAGATGGGTCAGGATATTTCTCCTCTAAAATCCCAACAATAACATCAGAATCTGGCACCCATTTGTCATCAATTTTCGCAACTGGCACCTTCCCTTCGGGGCTTATTTCCAAAAACCTACAAAAATAATACCAGTCATCATCTGGATATCGCATAAAATCACAAAAATTCATTAAAAAAGTACCCTTCTTTTAAAGAAATGTGTATTGAATTTGCTTTTCATAGGCCTCCACCTTATATTCTAGCATTAGATTTTCATTAATTTTGGTAAAACAGGTTAAAAGTCAAATCTACAAAAATATGGTTTACCGAAATGAAATCCCTCCCTTTTCCCCTGTGCTCGAACAGTGATTTTTAAAGAAAAATGAGGTGTTTTGAATTTTAGTTTAATACTTCTTCAAGTCAACAACCATATAAGCCGCTTTCTTGGTTCTTCAAAAGCAAACCATCAGTTTCCTTCAATTTAGAAAAATCACATTTCCTCAAGTTAGAAAAATCCGCATATACGGATAACCAATTTGCCAAAACAACAGGAAAGAGAAGGCCTTAAAATTGTACAAGTAGCTAGTGTAATCAGATATACAATCCTCCATTTGCACAATCACGTCAAAGAAGCATTAAACCAACAAAAGATTAAAAAAAAAAAAAGAATAAAAGTTAGATAATTTATTAATTTAAATATACAGAGCAAAAAAAGAAAAACAAAACGGTTGATTGTGATACCATTGAGGCTTGTCACTGAGATTGATCAAGTGCATCTTGTAGGTAAGTTTCTTCTCTTCCAAAGTCAAGAGAACTCTTTGGCAAAATGGGCCTGAAAAACACAACATCAAAAAAAAGAATGAAAAAGCCAACATTTGATCAATACACATATGAATAAATAATATCAAACGCACATATGTATATATAGAGCGAGACAAAGAGCGGGACAACGAGCGAGAAAGGGAGAGCATACAATCTCCAAGAACATCAGGAGCACCAGCAGCAGCCTTGACACAGATCTCCAGAGCCATTTCCTCGGAAAATTTTGCTTGGAATCTAGGGCGTTCTTGATTGGGGGAAGAAATGAAGCATGTAGAAGAGACGGTCCCTGCTCCCTATTTATTTCTGCAGTTACTGTGGTTCGGTTTGGTTCGTTTTAAAAGCTTTGTTGAACCAAATTTAAAGTGGTGGTTTATAAAAAATTCAAATCAAATTAAACCATAAAAGATACTCGATGGAACCAAATTCATAAAGCCCAATTGCTTTAATTTGGTTAAATTTGGAAGTTTGGCAGTGGTTTGTAAACTTCAAATGTGATAATTTAAATATCAAAACAACAACGGAGGAAAAAATTGTTAAAAACAATTAAATAATATGAAAAATAAATATACGGGTGCGTTGTTCAAATTACAAAGATGTTGCTTCTATTTCATAATACTTGTAACATGTCGACATGCCCTTTAAGAAAATTAAATTTATCTATGTTATAATAAATTATTAAGCAAATTGACTATATTACTCTTATTTAATACTAATTCTTTAAGAAAATCATTAAATTGAAGGCAAATTGACTATATTACTCTTATTTAATACTAATTCTTTAAGAAAATCATTAAATTGAAGTAATAATTATTGACTATATACAAATGATAAATATGGAAAAAAAATATATTTATTATTCCATGGAACCACAATGTGACAAGTATTCTAGAACAAATTATTTTCTCAAAAGTATTATTGATTTCTTAAAAAATAAAGAAAATTAATTTTTCATTCAATACAAAAATTATAATTAAAAAATGAATTACGTTTAATTATTTTATTCAATTTTTTCATATTTTATAACATTTCACAAAAAAATTCTACAACTCAGTTGTATTAGAACTATATTCAATTAATTTTTAATACAAACAAGTTCAAGTAAATTAAGATTTTAAATTTTAAATTTAAATATAATTAGTATAATTAATTAATTCATTTATAATCTTACCACATTATATTATATATACTATATATATATATTATTATATATATATATAATATATATATAATATATATATATATATAATTATTTTTTAAAAAACGACCTTTAAAAGATTTTTGTAATGTTTTTTATATTATATTTTAATTATTTTTTAAAAACGACTTTAAGATTTTGTAATGTTTTTATATTTATTTTTTATTTTTCAAATAATTTTTCTCTTTTCTAATATTTAAAATTTTTACATAATTTTTATTAGTTAAAAATATAAAAGTTATTATTTTATTTCTTTTAGTAAATAGCTAGTCTTTTTTAAATCTATTGTAAAAGTTGGAGTGTTAGTTGTATTTCAGCAAACTCTGTATCGTTGCCAAGTGGTAAGGAAAAATTAACTCTTATTACTTAATAAAATAATTATTAACGAAATATTTTTCACAGGTTTTGACATTTTTCGTTGAAACCTCTTCGATAACAATGTTAAATGGGATGAAAATGAACATAGTCCGAATGTTAACCACATTCTTAGTATCACATATTTCAATATGGATATATTATGAATAATATTAATTGGCACTTTAATTAAGAAAGAGTCAATTCGTGTAGATAGAGACTCCCAAGAACTCATTAATTATAGGATTTTCAGCTGAAAGTGGAGGGAATGGTGAGCAAACGGCAATAATTTTTAATTTTTTAAACTTTCCCAAACTAACTCTTTTTGTTTGAAATTTGAATTTTCCTCATTTTCATAAAGTTTTGAATATTTTCAATTAAATGTGCGCAAATATAACGAAAATATGTAGTCAAAATTTTTGATACTCTCAGTGTCTCCTCAACTTCTATAATATTCCTTCATATAAATTTGAAACATAACAAAAACATGTGATTGCATTCATAAGCTTTTTCAAACAAAGCATAGAAAGAGGGGAACTATAATTCTTGCATCATGAATCTACCATTTTCATTTGATCTTAATGAGTTTCCAACCAATTTACCCACACATTCTCAAGATATGTACATAACTTTCCAACTACCAAATTTGAACTCCTTACCTAATGAAGAAGAAAGCATTGTGGTTTTCCTAAAATGAGTCATTTCCAAAATATTCTTGCAGGCAATGCAAAAAAAAGAAATAAAAAGAAAAATATACTTGATGATTTAAAGGCAGATAATAAGGTATTGTTAAAGGCTGTCATCCAGTCCATTCCTACATACACTATGAGTTATTTTTTGATGCCAAAGAATATCTGCAATAAAATTGAATCTTTAATGGCTTAGTTTTTGTGGTGTCGAAAAGGAAATAAGAGAAAAATTTACTAGGCTCAATGGAAAAAAGTATGTCTATTAGAAAAAGAGGGCAGTATGAGCTTTAGAAATTTACACTATTCTATATATGGCCATGCTAGCTAGACTATGCTAGAGACTAGCTATGGTTGATAGCTCTTTGCTGGCTAGGTTCTTGAAAGCTAAATATTACCCAACTAAATTTTTGTTGGAAGTTAAAATAAGAACATGACCTAATTATGCTTCGCAAAGTCTTATGGAAGTCCGGTGAATCATCCAAAAAGGGACTAGATGGCTTATTAGGGATGTTAGTACTATTTGAATTTGGAAAGACAATTGGCTGCCAAACCAATAAAAATATATACTACAATCTACTCTAATAATCTTGGATAAGAAAGCTACGATTAATGAGCTCTTTGATGTCAACATTAGTGGTTGGAATACTTATATTATAAACACCATCTTTGTTCCACATGAGGCAACTCTAATATGTAGCATTCCATTATGCTTTAGAAGGGATACATATATGCTAGCATGGCCGGCTACTAAGAACACTTTCTTTTCAATTCGCTCAGCTTATCATCTTGCTTTTCATTCTGTTGTTGCTTCTAATTTTGCAAGATCTTTGGAGACAAACGATGATTCCTTTTGGAATGTTCTTTGCAAAAAACAAGTCCTAACAAAGGTGAAGCACTTCAGGTTTCATGCCTGCAATGACCAAATGCCTTCTAAAGTTAATCTACTAAAGTAGTAGGTAGAGATTGAACCGATATGTGAATGTTGTGGAGATCATGAGGAAACATTGACTCCCGTGTTGCTTCAATGATTAGAATTTTAGAGAATCTAGCTAGTAACCCCTTGCACCTCCAACTTCATGGTACTCTCAACTGTATAAGGATTGGATTAAGTCTTTAACGTTGATTTTTTTGCTGAACAAATGCAGTTTTATTTTATGTTTGCTTGGTTTAACATTTGCACTAGATGAGGTGCTAGCTTAAGATGTTAACTTACCTTAAACAAATCCCACATTGATTAAGCACAAGGTGAAAGTAATGTATATAAGAACGGACAAGTTCTTAGACTAGCAAGGGGCCTTTTGGGCTATCAAGTTGGTTCTAGCCCAAGAACAAATCATGCGAACCTGAGTGGGTTTGGCCCAAAGCGGACAATATCTTACTAGGCTTAAGCTGCCACACTTAGTCTACTAGAATGAGTTTGGAAACCAATCACAAAGGATTAAAGCTCCTAGGCTTGATTGAGAAAATGTTAAATGGTAGCCACCTTTGCAGATTTCTTTAAAGTTAATTGTGATGCACTTGTCGGTGAGAATTGGATTTGTGGCCTTGGAATGGTGGTTAGAGATTCCTTCGGTGAAATCATATTGCTAACTCCTCTAAATATATGTTTTTTCTATTGCCAACTGAAGTTGAAGTAGAAGCAGAAGCTGCCCACTTTGTCATTGTCAAGTCCACTGAGCTGGGTTTCCACTCCTTAACGCTCGAAATAGATTGTTTGTCTTTGGTGAATAGTCTGAAAACTCAGTTTTTTCCTTACAATGAACTAGGCACAAGAATACTCTCTAGCAACTAGTCAATGCTCTAATTTTCTTATTTCTCATGTGTATAGGGATAGGGCTGAGCAAAAAGTCGGTTGGTTCAAATCGAACTGAAGCCACAAAATATAAATCAAAATTTCTTTACAATAAATCGAACCAGACTGAAATTTGTATATGAATCGAATCGAATCGAATCGAACTAGTTGATTTGATCTATTTTTGTCGGTTTTTATGATTTTGGTTCGATTCTAAGCCCAACCACCGAATATTTGTGTAACCAAATTGAACCAAGCAATAAATTCAGTTCAAACTGAATAAACCGACCAACCGAATCTCTTTTGGACATCAGATCGAACCAAACTAAATGAGTCGGTTTGGTAGGTAATTTTCCTCATCCCTATATAGGGATGGTAATAAGGTAGCTCATTCACTTACAAAATTAGCTCTCTCTTTCGATGTGGAGTAATTTTTTATGGAGGAGCAATTTTAGATAAAGGAGGTACCTTTGTTTATCTTGTCTCTTGCCCTTGACGATAGCTCTTTTTTGCTTCAATATAAGTTTGATTGTGTCACGCCCCGACTCTAATCACCAGAGGAATTGTCCGCTTTGGTGTAGTCCACGGACACCCTACCCCGTCGTGTAGTCCCCGCACGCCCTACACCTCACGTTGTCCGCTTTGGTGTAGTCCACGGACACCCTACCCCGTCGTGTAGTCCCCGCACGCCCTACACCTCACGGTTTTGTCCCAATAAAATAATATCATTTTAAGATTCGAAAATTTTGGGGCGTTACAGATTGTTTTTCTAAAAAAAAAAAATAGTTCATTTAATTTTTTAATTTATTTTTTTATATTTTAAATAATAATTGAATTGAATTATTATTTAATGAATTTGCATGACTATTTTTAGGAATAAAATCTAATTTATCCCCTTAAACTTTTTATTGAGAAATAAAAACTACAAAATCCACCTTTTAACTTGATATATCCCTTGAATTAATAATTTACATTTAATTTGCTTAAAAAGCTCAATTTCATACGAAAATTTAAATAAATTTATATTCTTTTAAAAATTACACCTAAAATATAAAATTAGGGATAAATTGAGTCAAAATGTTAATTTATAGCTTTTTTATTTCTAAGTTTCCGTTTGGAATAAATTAATTCCACAAAATTTTATAGAATTCATTTCAAATTTCAATAAAATTAGATCTGTGTAACTCAAATTTTTATCAAAATT